TGAAGTTTCAGCTCAGACCCCACGCTTAATAAGTATCCCCCTGGCCCACCTACATTTCTCCAGGCCCACCCACACAATAATTCCTGGCTACGCCACTGGTATTGATTACAGCGTTTAGAATGTGTTAAATGAAAAGTGATGAAAGAGAATATGAGGAGAAGAGGCGTGTTAAGCATATATTGAATGTGCAATGTCTGAATCCTCTGTTTAATGTAACAACGGAAATTAAAGACGTGGAGAGCCGGCCCGCAGGGAGGAGCCAGCAGAGGATATATAACAGCTGGAGAGGAGGGGTTCACTCTCTCTTCTTCGCTTACGAGGAGCAGATCACAGCTGTTTTTCTCACCTGAACAATATTCTGCTTGTAACATATCCGCGCCTTTTTTAATTAAAGTACCCAATTGAACCTTCTCAGAGACTCCATTTAGTCTCCTTTTTAAAGCTTCTTTCCTTGACGCGAGAATAACGATCACAGTTTACAATCTGGTGACCCTGACGTGATCTTCGTTGGACCGGGAGAGACTAACAACCAGCTGCTTTCCGGAGACGCGGCGTCCATTCGACACACTACGAGCTCGAATCCATTCGGTACGAAGAAGCCTGTTATATAAAATTCTTCATAGTTTATGCAGGACAAAATAAGTTTGTGTGTTTGATGGCGGCCAGCGGATCCTGAAAATAGCTGTGCATGACTCAAAAAAGACTCACCTGCCTCGTACCCGCACAGGACGGATAGTGGGATTCTAACTTTACCTCAGATACCATGACTGCTCAGGAAACAAAATAAAAGAGTAGATTTCTGTCCCATACTATCGAGTATATACTCCTGAAGGTTTTCCAAGAAAATAAAACTTTGGACATTGCTAAGGTCTTACAGGACTAAAAATATAGGTTGCACTCCCGACCGAACTGGTGGCTCAGATTTTTGTATCTCTCTCTTTAGCGACAGTTCCCCGCGATGTTGAGTTGTTCTACTTGATAACTGGCACTAAATTAACATTATGTGCAAAGTTTTACTACCGGCTTCTATTGTTGCTAGACTATGCCTAATCATTTTATGGTACTTAATTCGAACTGTTCAGACGTACTGTCTGCCGTCCGGCTTTTTGGACACAACATTTACGCACAGATACCTCTAAACCGTATTTCGATTAGAGCCACATTTTACGAGCTGGCAGGGTGTGAGAGTTGTTTGACCAGTAAATATGTCTGATAATCTTATTCTGCGTCGCTGCATAAGCGGTTACTGAGTGTTCATAAGTCATCACCAACATGAACAAATTCGAACACGATCAGTACTTATGTAGTATCATACTTCTCGAACTCGATATAGACGACACAACAGACTCCCTCGAGTACTTCTACTAGCAGTGCAGAGAGCGATGTTATGCTGACGCATGAACATATCTATTCGTAGTCGAATAGGTCAGGACGCTTCTCATGATTCTTTATCGACATTGAGGCAGTCTGCGTGCATTCAGTTATAGACACCGCTGGTTGCACTCGTAGGCCTGGTCTTATATAAAACTGCGCGTCTAACGAACTTTTACAATAAAACAAAGACACGACCCGTGTCAAAGTACGCATACTCTGAAATCTTGTCATACTACCGCGAAAACCCGGCAGCCCAGTCCGGGGCAATATAACTCACTTTCGATTCGGTTCCCGTTCCGAGTCCGTCCTTTGTACACTGAATAGTCTCTGAAAGCTGTAGCCATTGTGTTAAAATTTGTTCTAAAATACATCCATATGGTACAAATGACTATGGTTAACATAACTACTCACATATGCGAACAAGTAATTTTATTTTTTATTTTTTATATTTAAAAACTTTATATATAAAAAAATTATATATAAAAAATAATTATAAAAAAATTATAAAACAAGAACACCCTTCCCACCGCCGCGGGCGATGCGGGGACTACCGGCGGCGGTGACCAGTCATACGATTCGATTTCGATGATTTTATCTCTGTTAGTTCTGTCTTGATGGATGCACTCTTTCGCGTTCGTTTGTGCTAGGCTCTCATGTACTGGTGTGTGTCCACACATATAAATTGTTAAGTTGTAGTGTGTGTACTAATATATCGTACGTCCCAATTTTATTTTCTAGTTTTCTTTCACACTTGAGTGGGACGACGTGTATCGTCGCGGTGCTCCAATTCTACCGAATTACACAGTTAAATCCAACACA